AAAAATTCCGATAAAGTAATTTGCCTGGGAGCCTTTGCGTTTTTTCAGTATTAGTCACATGACCATGGGCGTGGCCTGATGATGTCATCACTAGTGTTGCTGATCATGAAAATGTTAAAACACATGAAATAACTCTGAACTAACTAAACATGATGAGGTTATGAGAATAAATTTTCCTTAGCAACGGCTTGAAAAGATCGGTTAATGGGCCCTTAAGTACTGTTGAACTCAACACTGTAGAAAAATCTCATGTGGACTGAATTATCATTCGAAACTTGCAGTTGTGTATGTATGCTCTTCAGTTCTTTCAACAATTTTGAAGTATAAAATTGTGTAACCCTGAATTTCTAAATCCTTCCTGAAGCTTGATCATATAAATAAGGAAATGTCCTATTTTGTGGATGACCTCTTAGTCAATAAGTAAATGGCTAAAACAATATTGCTATTGATCAACAGCAAACAAGACTCTACACCCTTTAGACTTTGGGCATGCTGTGACGGGCGGAGAACCTCCCATGGGATATTTTCTGAAGGAAACTGAAAATAGTTTGTTTTGTTTGTTCAGATGCCAAAATACATTTACTATAAAGAAACACTGAAATCAGAAACTCTTGCCTGATAAGAGTTGAAGTCCAGCCCAACTTTATCCAGGGCAAATTCATATGCTTGCAGCATTTTATCTCTGAAAAATGAACATGACATCTGAATAAGCCAGTTTATGCAACTGATGTGGGGTTGTCTGAATGTTTTGATTGGAGATTGATTGGAGTAGGTTAGATTGGAGTAAATTGGAGTAGGTTAAGCTGACTTTGCCTCCTTTTTCTAAGGATTAGACAAATAGCCCATCAAAGTGGCCGGCAAAAATCATGAAGTAGATGGATATTTTCACTGACAACCAGCTACCTTTGAACACCCTACTGACGATTTACAGGGTTGTACAGGGAAACCTTAGAAAGGGAGAGAGGGAGGGATGAACACCAATAGAAATTCTTCAGGACTGAATCCAAGGATGACACCCAAAAACAAAATGAAGCTGACTTTACAAAGTAATTTCTAACTTCTATCCCCAGCAATAGAATAAAAACTCTTTTTTACACAGTTTTCTCAAGCATTCGGACCTCTATCAAAAAAGTTAGTAAGAATTCAGACAAACCAATCAAACACAAATACTGCAGGGATTTCATGATCCATGCCTCTCCCCTGCCCCAAACCAAACATTCAAATCACGCACCTTCCTACTAACATCTTTGATTCGCATCGTACATGACCCCCCCCNACACACACACACACATCCTCCCAGGACAAGTTCAACAAGTACTATGGACAGAGTACAGAGCTATTTAGCCAGTTATGCCAGTTTATGGTGAAATGGGAAACTGAATCACAACAGCAAGAAGCCTTTCTTTAAGCACTGGTGTCAACAGGGAGATGATGACATTAAGTGAAAAACATTCAGCTTTAAAGTAAAGGTAAGGTAAAGTGTACATGACATGACAAACGAGAAAGCATTCAACAGTTTGGAATGGACTTTTCTTGAAAAATGTTTGAATCAATTCGGTTTTGGGCCTGATTTCATAAGATGGGTCAATATTTCCTATAAAGATATTCAAAGTTGTATTATAAACAATGGTCTTTGCTATGACTACTTTAAACAGAGCATGGAGTTAGGCAGGGGGACCTCCTTTCTCCCAATCTTTTTGTCTCCGCAGTTGAAATCCTAGCGATTGTTATAAGAAACCAAGACGATATTAAAGGAATAAAAATAAACGATTTAGAAACTAAACTGTTGTAGTTTGCTAATGATACAACTGTTGTTTTATCAGATTTAGATTCTGCACAAGCTTTGCTTGATTGTTTTGAGAAAGTTTCTGGACTAAAACTTAACATTGCGAAAACAGAAGCAATGTGGATCAACTCCCTCCAGAACTGTGAAAATGAACCACTTGGAGTCAAACTGAAAACTTCTGTTAAGTTTTTAGGAATTTTCATTACACATGATGTACAGATACTAGTCGAGAAAAATTTTAAGTAAAGGCAATAAATTTATGGAAGTCAAGGGGTTTGTCGATTCCTGGCAAGGTTAATATTATAAAAGCAATTCTTTTTCCATAACTGATATACCCTAGCTCGGTGATACGCACTCCGTCTGAAGTTATAAACGAATTTAACAATTTAGTTTTTCATTTTTTGGGTTTTATCGAAGCATTGGATTCCAAGGGAATAATAAATACACTAAAAAAGGTATTACGTCAGCCATGGAATGCGCTGATGTTGCTGCTCTCACTTTCGTTAGGTGACAAATAAGGTCGTGTTTACTTTGCACATTTATTTCGCCAGAAGCAACGGTCATTAATTTATTTGCAATTTTGC